CAAAAAAAAATGATACACCAAAAGAACGGAAAAGTGGGGGAACTTTCCCCCAAATGGACTCAACAGCCTCTGACAAGCAATAAACAATCAAATGTATAAACTCCAGGAAAATTATAAAAATTTAAAGAAAAATGCCATTTAAAACTGTTGGTTATAAATTTGGTACTTTGAGTTTTTGTAAATTTTTGATAGGATATTCCGCTGGGAAGCCATTGGTGAATGAAATGCTCAATTTTGGTGTATCATTTTTTTTGTCTTGGAGGTGACAGCACACAGCCATTGCAGGGAGCCGTCTGCGCGCTGAGGCAAAGCATCCACAGCCCATCATCGCCTGACCAGCGTGGGCCTGTGTGACGACTTTGCGCCCAAATGACAACAGAGGCCGGCTTGGCATTACACCAGCAGCGTGCGGCCTCCCGGCAGTCTCTCGGGATTGGTCTCCCTCTTTTTCTCTCTGCCGCCGCATTGCGACAGAGAAGTAGGAGGGGGGGTTACATTTCCGCCCCAAGGCGTGCAAAAGCTCTGGTTGCTACGACGTAATTGCCCACCTGCCATGCCACCAAGGTAGGCCACCATCTCGGGCTGGCGACGTGAGATCGACCGGCCAGATTCTGAGGGTGAATGAAGCAAAGAGAGACGGGGTAGCTGCGGGGTTTCTGTGTCTCAGACCGATGATTGATCATGGCTTGAACTCGTTTTCTGCGGTCAGTTGCATCTTGTCTCGCAGCGAGAGCGATTGACTCTTCACCTGCTGATGGAGACTGCAAGCTACAAGCTGAGGAGCTCCTTGAAAGGTGCGGGGTACCCCGACCTCGGGGGTGATCTGCATTTCAAATCACATGCATGGACTTGACATCACTGCACAGCAAAAGTAGCCGAACTGGGTCAAAAAGTGTTTATATATTTACAATGCCACGCGAGAGCGTGACTACTACACCTTTCCGACCGAGACGATGTGCCAGACGGACGATACTATATACATGTGCGAAGAAGAGATCCTGTGTTTGTTGGTCACATCCAGTGCCAAATTGTTTTCATGTCAAAAATCATTGATGGTTGCCCGTGGGAGAAAGAGGGCGAGAAAAGAGAAACGGAAGCCTTTCCGTGTGGGTCGCTTAGTCGCGCAGAGCGGCATCGCGGCGGGCAGCCTCGCGGCGCTCCTCGCGCCTCTGGCGGCGGGCGGCCTTGCAGTCACGGACAGGAGCCGAGGTGGCAGGCTTGGTCTGAGCAGGCTGGGTAGCAGGGCGGGTGGTAGTAGGGGTGTTGTTCTTGCCACCGTTGTTGTTCTTGCCGTTACCGCCGTTGCCGCCGTTGTTGCCGCCGTTGTTGCCGCCGTTGTTGCCGCCGTTGTTGCCGCCGTTGTTGCCGCCGTTGTTGCCGCCAGCGTTACCGCCGTTGCCAGCGCCGCGAGAAAAGACGGCAGGGCCGGGGATGGGGTACGAGGTGGGGTTGTTGTACAGGTTGAACAGGACACCGGGGTCCTGGGCCGTGTACAGCTTGGTGGCAATGACGCCCGCGGGGGTCTCGGCGCCGGTGCCGCTGACCTCGAGGTTGATGCACTGGGGGTACATCTGGGCACCGTTGGCACGGTTGCCCTCGTGCAGGCCGAACATCTCGTGGCGGAGGACGTACGAGCCGGCCTTGATCGAGGCCGGGATGGTGACCTCCCACTTGTTGCCCTGGTTGATCAGCTTGTCCGAGGCCCACACGCCGTTCTCGAGACCGGCCTCGTCGATCTTGAAGAACTGCAGCGAGGTAACGTCGACCTTGTCGCAGCCGGTGCTGCCGCACGGCGCAAGGTAGTCGATGACGGGGCCCTTGTGGCTGCCGGGCCAGCCGTCCCACTGGATGGTGATGGAGTCACCAGCATTTACGGGGACCGACGCCTTGGCGTTGACAGAGCCCTTGTGGCAGGCAATGTCGCGCGAGTTGAAGGCGCTGGGGAGAACGAAGCCGTTGTCCGAGGCCGTGGTGGCCCAGCCGACAGTGCCAGCAGGGGCGTTGAGGCCGTTGAAAGGCGTGAAGCCGGGGAAGGACTTGCCCTTGACCGTCACCGTGGTGACGTGACCGTGAGCCGCAACAGAGGCAGCTCCGGCAAGGACGGCAAGGAGGGTCTTGGAGGTGAAAGAAGACATGTTGGAGGATGGAGTGGTTGGGCTTGGTTGGATATGTTCAGGGAAAATGGAACAAAAGACAGTGGTTGGTTTGGCTGAGCAAATCACAAGAGCAAGAAAAAGCTGTGCTTGAGTAAAGACCGGCTGGCGGGAAAGAGTGAATGGTATGAGACGAAGCTTAGAAAAGACGTCAGTCAATGAGCGAGTGTGAATCGAATGAACGTTAAGTTCAGTAAGGAATGTGGTGCCCGGTTGGTGAAGGAAAGTGAAGCAGCGGTGAGCTGAGGAGAAAGGGACAAAAGATGCATGGTGAAGACGTGGCGATGGACGCCTTTATAACAACGTCTGGTGGACCAAAAGGACGAGTGCGTGGGCATCGATCGACCCCTGCCCGTCCCCAGGCGTGGCGATCCCGCCTTTGAGGTTCCTCGATTGGTTTGTGCTTACAACAGCAACAAAGGAGGGATGAAATGCCAGGGTCAGGCATAGGGACCCCAAGGGAAAGACGGAAGTTCGTGCCGCGAGCCCTATCACCGCACGTGCGGCTCAAGCTCACCCTCGGCCGACGACAGATGTTTCAGCAAAATGAAGCCACCACGACTGGATTCCTACATTCGCAAGCTCCACGCGGGCGGCATGATGTTCGCTTAGAGGACACGGCCACCCTGGCCTGGCTGAGGGTGGCTGGCCCGGAGCGTTGAGTGGCCAGCTGGGAGGCCGCGGCGCCAACGTCTCCAGGCGCCCAGCCCGGCGCCTCACCCGAAGGACAGGGGAAGGGCATGGTATCCGCAGGGCACAGCACTTGCAGACCTGGTTCACCACACCTGTCGGATCAGGCCTGTGCAGAGATCCCGGTCCGTGGTGTTGTTTGTTGATGATAGGGGCCGTCGATCATCAAGGGGCAGGGCCGGCTTGAGCAAGGGTCTGAAGACAAAGACAAGAAATCGCATTCTGGCGACAAACGGCAAGCGCCGACAACCGCCCGAATCCACTTGAAGAAAGGATTTGTACGCGTTCCAGAAAGCGGCAAGACCGGTGGACGTCTGCCTGTCCGGGTTGGCGAAGACGGCCTGGGAATAAACCGGAGTCGCTGGTACAACAGCGAGTTGGGACGAAACCTGTCGCCGCACAGAAACATAGATTGGCTGCCATGAGAGGACCAACTAAACTTTACCAACTGCCACCTTTCATGCGCGCAGTCCGATCTTTCCGTTGTTTCCCTCGCGGCACAACGTCCTCGCCGTTGGGTGACGACTGTCCAACGAAAAAGCCAAGGGAAAAGGTCGAAGGGATTGGCCCGTCCTCAGGGCTCAGGGGGGGCTCGCGTTTCAAACCCAAGGCGGAGGCGAGAAGGAAAACCCTGCGTCAATCCGCAATCAATCGCTTGGGCATGGTGGGACCAAGGGGGGCCGCCCCCAGCCGACAAGCTGCCCGTGAGGTGAGGGTGTGTCGTCCAACAAGACGCAGCAGCAGGCACGGGCGCAACCATGAGGCTCAGCGGGAAGTGACCTTATGCTGTTGGGAGGGGTGGTCCAGTCCAGCAGCATGCAAATGGGTGGGTATTAGCTAGCGCCAGTGCGCCTTGCTAGTCGCCCAGCCGTGGCCCACACCGCTAGGCGCTAGGCCGAGTCCCGCTGGCCGGAATAAATGGCAGGCACGACACAAGGGTGCCGACCGGCGGTCGACCCTGGATGGGCGAAAGGACGACACCGCCCGGGCGGGGAGGGTGGGGAAGGGTGACGAAGAGGCTGCAGCCCGTGATTTCATCCCTAATGCGACGATTCGTGCATGAAACCCTAGTTCGTAGTGGTCGCGGCTGCCCTCATCCATCTTCTTTTTTCCGTTGTCTGCGGCATCCTTGTGCTCCACACCCGCGCCCACCCACACATTCAGAGAACAAAAAGCAGGAGCTGACAACAATCTCGTTTACTCCTTCGCTCCGACGAGTCCTCCGGTTGCGCCTGCACTAGCGCGGATTTCATCGTCCACCAGAGGCATATAGCCCGTCTGGATACCTAGGCCCGAAGCATCTTGGTGAGACGTCGTGGGAGGCGAGTGAGTCTGGAACTCGGATAGACACGTGATGGGATTCCAAAATCCCAAGCGGCTGTCAGGCAGACAGCGCCACTGTGGGGTTGCCCAACGGTGCCGACAGGGCCGACCAAGCCGAAGAACAGGCGAAGACCGCTCGTTCCTAAACGCATTGCGTCCGACTCCACACTCGCATCCACTGCGCTCCCAAAGAACGTAAACGCGGTTCGATGGGGACGGCTGACGGGGAAAACTACGCCTCCTGTTCTCCTCAGCAGCCGCCCTCTCAGCGCCTTGTGACGATCCATGTGTTTTTTTTTTTGTGGCGTGGCACAGGCGCCGTAGTCGTCAAGGGCACTGCGGCCTCGCCTAGAGCTTCCAACGATATGCCTTTTTTAGCCTATCTTCTCTTAGATTGACTTTCGGTACCATCCGTGCAGCCGCCATCTCCAAGGTGTGGCAAGATCGATCGGTAAAGTCATTTGAAATCCAGGCTTTGCGCGAGAAAATGCAGCCAATCAAAATTAATGTAGATTGTCGAGGGTCACGTCGTCGCGCGGAGGTTGTTTATACGAAATAATACTAGCACACGCCATCCACAATCTGCGGAAGGGGCAGCCAAGCCAGCCACATCTTGATGGTGAAATGTTTGACAGAAAGAAAACAGGGTTGTTTACAGCCACTACGCGCGTTGCTAGCTACATCCTAGTTTATTTCCGCTTCATTTGTGGTGCGAGCCGCCAGGCGAGATCGTTTTAGGTGAAACGTGCTAGTTCAAACCTCCTTGGAGATTCTCATAAGCTTCCCGCCATGTGGACGGTGAGATGCATGTTGGTGTCGATCTTGGCAGCCATCCTGCTATCTCCCTCGAATATCACTGTCACAACAAGTCCCTGAGACGCTTGACCGCTGATTGGTATTCGGGTTTCCAGAAACCAGCCACTACGGCACCTAATGCACCTCAATGATCTTATTGCTGTGGATATCTCCTGGTGTCTTCCTACCCAGATAGCCTCTTTTACGCTACAGACTTCGTTTACCCATATTTACCATCTCGCTATCTAGGACTCAACTCCTTCATCGGCGCATTGCCATGTGATTGAGGAGCCTCCGTCTTTCACACCAGACCATATTATACGGCCGAGGTCTTGTCTGTCCCCAGCATTTCGTTCAGGCTCCTAAATGGGATTTTGTTCTTCATACCAACATGTTTGCCGTGCATGCATGGTGTAACCACCGTAGCCGTCAGGATTTCCGTGCAATAACCGTCGTTATCACGTCGGTAAAAGTATGGAATCAGGGGGAAATCGGAACAAAGCATAGAATAAAGAACTAAGAACTTTTGTATCTCAACGCAGTCACGCCAGTTCACTCGCTGTTCAACCCACAATTCGAGACCCAATCACAGCCAACCGAGGCTCAAGCAGCACCTCTGCTTCTTTCAAACTTCCAGTCAATAAACCCACCGCATATCCCTTTGGTGTCTGGCAGAAATTCCAAGACAGCCGAGGTTGGTTTTGAGAAAATGCCGATACAAAACCATTGAACGGGGGGAATGTAAGGGTGTAGGATTCCTGGTAACAGGGTACAAAGGAGTGATGGCAAATGACAAGTCCATCCATCATCTCTTGAGATTACGGGAACGGCTGGGAAGACCAGAACGCCCCGTACCGTATCGTAGATGTCACCCTGAAACTTAATGACTGAGTGATGAGAGAAATAAGTAGAGTAAGAGGAGCGGGCAGATCATGACCCGGGCCATATGGGGGCTCAAGGGCGAATGATTAGAAGCAGGATGTGTGCTGATCTAGCCAGCGACGCGACGTTGGCCATGAGGGCGTCGGCGGCACCGGCAATCTCGGCCGGCACTGGCCTCTCGGCAACGACAGACCTTCGTGGTCCTTGGGGAAGACGCCTTCAAAAGTCGCATACGACCGCAATCCAACGCTCTAGATCGGACTGGCGGGATCGCGGATGCTACCGCTGCCACTTCCGCTGCCACTACCGCTGCCGCTACGAACGCTGCTGCGACCTGAGCCAAGACCAGAACCGGACCCCATCCCGCAACCAGAGCCGGATCCGGACCCAGAAAGAGAGCCCGATCCAGCACCACCGCGCCGGTGAACCGTCCGAGAGAAAGGACTGTACAGGCCCGGCGGGGGCCCCGTGACATGGCCCGGGGCGCCGGCGCCGATCGGGTTGGGGTGTATGGTCTTGATCGCATCCTCGTCTCCTTGGCTGGACTCGGTGAAGCCCGAGACATCCGAGAGCATGGAACTCGATCGACCACGGCGCCGGATGCCGGCCGCGGGCACGTGAAGCATGGAGTGCGAGAACTGGGCAGGCAAGGCCGTCGCCGAGGATCCGTACTGCTGCAGGTGGTGTCCGAGAGAAACTTGGTTCGGCAGGGACGATAGAACCGGTTGCGACAAGGGCGCTGCCGACGCGGCGGGCGGCCACATGGCTGACTGTCCCCCAAAGGACTGGGTGGTTGCAGGCATGGCTGGAGCTACCGTGGCGCCGCCCCATTGGTTCATGGGCGGGAAGGTAGCCGCCGGCACGTCGTGGACGGCCGGCGCGTAGGCGCCGCCAACAGCCACGTCGTACGGTTGGACAGCAGCAATCATCTCGGCGTTGAAGCTTGTGAGATAGGCCTGCAAGGCCGCAGCCATCGTCTGAGCCTGGTGGGACTTCTCGGCATTATAGGCCCTAACAGCCGTGATGGCATCCACGTAAGACTTCTCGGTTCTGCCCGCCTCGGCAGTGAACACGGCACGCTGCTGGCACCGCCGCTCAGCCTCGTCCAGTCCCCTAGCGTTGGCGTCGGTGATGCGCGCGTGCTCATCGTCGAGCTTAGCGATGCGGGCTGCAATCTTGTTGCGCTTGTTCTGGAGGGCATCACGCTCCGAGGCGAGCGCCTTCAGATCCCGATCAATGTTGGCCTTGAAGCTTTTGAAGGACGCCCTGGCCGCGTCGAACCGCGCCTTTTCGGCGTTCCACTCCCCCTGCTTGCTGCGGTAGCGTCCCATCAGCTCCTCAGGTACAGACTCCAGTTCCTTGATCTGCTCGTCCAAATCATGGATCGACTGCTCAGCCTGGGCCTGCTGGGTGTTGTGCTGGCTGATCTTCTGCCTCCACTTCTCGTCGTTGCCTCCCGAAGACTGCACGGCGTTGGTGAGCTTGTCGATTTCTTTCCGGAGCTGGTTGACCTTGCGGTTGTTTTCTTTCCGGAGAGTTTTGAGCTTGGCCCTCTCCTCAGCCAGCTTGGCCTCCTGGCTCGCGATCGAGGTCTTTAGGGTTGTGGCAGGGTCCTTGCGGGAGAGCACTCGGTGGGCCGTGATCTGGGCGTTCGTGGAGGGGTCCGCATCCCTGGTTCTAGCCTGAGTAGTCCTAACACTGGTTGAGAAGAGAACCTCGCCTGTCCTGGTACAGACAAACTCGCACTCGTAGCTAGACATGGGCGTCAGCCCATATATATCACCCGTCCATCGTGATCCGCCTTGGGGAGCGCCGCCTTCGGTCTCGTCTTCTTCGTCCTCCATCCGAATTGTGCGCGTAGGCTGCCAGATGGCGTTGTTGACTCGCACAAAGAAGGGCTTGCTGGCGTCAACCCAAGATGCGCCGGCCCTGCCGTTCTCACGGGACGAGTCGTCTGCGCCATCGTCTGCAAACCGGCTGGTGGCGAAACAGACCTCGTCGCTTCCGACGTAGCAGATCCAGATCTGCCCTGGTTGGGTGTTGAAGGGCGCATTTCCAAGATTGTGTATGTCGGTGGCGTTGGAGCCGGCCGACTCACGCGCGGCGTGGGATAGTTCATATTCTTTAACCATGACGATTTTTGTGCTCGCAAGCGCCGCCCATAACGGCTGGCGTATTCGGACCTGAGCGCTCTGTTTTCTCTTCTTCTTGGCCGAGATGGCCATTGAAGTCAAAGTCGACTGGGTGTTGGGATCCGATTCGGAGGTGCCGCTGGGGGTGCTCTCGCTTGCTGATGATTCTGCGGGAAACAATGTCTTGCCGGCCTCTGGGTCTGGCTGGCTTTGGGGCTGAGCATCCCGCTTCTCTCTCCGCAAATACCACTCGCGAACGAATTTGACGAAGCCCTGCATCACAATGTGAACCGCCAAAACATTCCTGATCCAGGGGTAAGCTCCAGTTCGCTTGATTGACGAAGGGCCAGATGAGTTGAGCGGGCCGGACTGGTCTGAGGAACCCCAGCCGTTGCCACCGAGAAGCGTCGTGATGCGAGATATGCCCTGGAGACTGGGATGCTGGCCGAACCGAGAAAGGCCGACAATTATAGAGCATAGAAGGAAGGTGTTGAGCGAACCTTGCCTGGAGCTCCCGCCGCCGCCTAGGGTCAAGGCGATGGTGACCTGGGCGAAGTCGAGGAGAAAGTTTTGGAGAAGCCCGGGCAGGAAGATCCACACAAGCAAGAAGACGCAGTCGATGCACAGCAGAACCGTGATGGACGGCGTCCCAATGGCAGCTTCGAACATGTCGGTGATGCTGAGGCCGGAGCTGGTGGTGACGGGCGGGACGAAGGTGAGGAGGGTGAAGAGTCCATAAATCAACGAGAGGGCGATAGGGGACAGCTGCATCAGGATGATGAGTATGGCGATGGTGTCGTACAGTGGGCAAGAGCGGAGGACGGTAAACGCAAACTCGAACGGTCCCGGGTCCCGGTGCACGTTGATGTTCTTGGCCGCGTTAACATCGATCCGGCGCGCGTTCTCCTCCGGGTTCGCCATCTGGGATGGGATCTGGGCGACGGCGGCCGAGTCGGCCGAGGACTCCTCTGTCGAATCGTTGGACATGGAAGCGCGGAGCGAGGCAGCGGACTTGTGGTCAGCGGAGCCGTTGGCGGCGGCGGCGGCGGAGGGGGCAAGGACGCCGGGCACGGGAGGGGCCGTTTCGTGGTACTGCTGCTGAGCGGGCTGGCGTGGGGCGAAGCCGTTGCCATTCGTCTTTGCGTTTCCGTTGGCGGTCGAGGAGGGGCCGGGCTGGGCCTGACCTCTGCCGGGGGAGCCGAGGTGGCCATTCGCGCCGTCGAGCTTGGGGAAGTCGGGCGCCGAGGGACGCGGGGCGCCGTCTACCTGGCTCTGGCTCCGCTGCTTGCTGACGCGCTTGCCGGGGCCTACGAGGCCATTGTCGTGGCGGCTGGCGCTGTCGCGATTGCTGGCGGCTCCCTGCTGTCGCTTTGCCGAGGAGGACGCGCGAGGCATAAGCTTGTCTTCTTATGCCGGCCGCGAAACACGGGAGCCGTGTTCTGAGCCAGCAAAGAAGTCCTGGGTGATGGAGCCCACCTGAAGGAACACCCGACGACCGCGATGCCGCGATCGTTTGTCGGGTCCGAAGTCACCAGCTGGGGACACAAGAGGTGGCACGTTGATGGTGGCGGCCTGGGATTGGCGATTCTTGCTCAGAGCCGAAGCAGAGCCACGTCGTCGGATGGAAGAGCTCGGCAGTCGACCGAAGCTTGCATGTGTCCCCTTATTTCCTTCCTCGATTTGGTCCCTTTTTTGTGTCCCTCTCTTTCCGTCTCCCTCCCTCTTGTTCTTGGGTCCTCCTACCCGTCAAAGTCGAGGGCCGCCGTGTCGTGGCGTTGTGGCGTGGAAGGGTCGTGACACGCGGCGGTGTGCTTACGCAGAAGGCTTTGTTTGTTCAAAAAATGGGAGGGAATTTGGATGGTGAGGGTTTTAGGTTTGGAAGGCTGCAAACGGCCGCGGGTTGGAGGGTGTCGGGTCAGAGCGAGCGACTGGAAGTGGGAAGGAAAGATGGGGGCGGCTGTAGCGGTACCTCATACAACCTCCCGCCTGCACCTTGTGCGGGCAGATCCTGCCTGCTGTCCACTAAAAATTTGCGTGCAGGCCGCCGCAAGTCAAGGCCCGCCCATCGTGAGTGGGGGAGCCTGCGGGGACATGAACAAGCACCGACCCAATCCAAACCTCGCGTCAAGCCTGTGTGAGTCGCTGGAAGAAAACAGCTTGTTGTCTGCCAGGCGTGCAGGTCCTGTGCCGGTTTGTGGATTCGTATTTGGCAATACAGTGCTCTACAGATTCGCTATTTGCTTTACCAGCAGCCTGGTGAAGCATTTCTGGGTGTTGATCAAGCATCAAGCATACAAAGTTCCCGCAAACGCACGAGAGAAATTGGGCGTCGCCCGCGCGCAGCAGCAAGAAGAAGGTTCGTGCTGTGTGGGAGACGCATGCGGTGCGACATTTCGATGCCAAGAATTGCGGACGGGGCCTCTGAGGAAAGCATCGGCCCCCTCAGACATATATCGCTCGCTGCCCCTGAGCCTTCTCCACGAGCATGACATGGGAGCCTTTCGCAGCAGCAGGGTGGAATGCCGCAAGAGAAAATAGGCCAGGAAGAATGCTGCATCGGCGTGTGGCCTAGGCCTCACCGCTTCACGCCGTCAGAGGTTCCAGGGCAATTTGGCAAGCAACAGCCTGCTGCTCAGCATTGCACGATAAACATGGAACGCCGCCAGCGGTTTGCTGGCCCGATCCGATCAGCCTTGGCCGACCTGACTCGCCCTGAGCTCCTCCCGACTGCCGCGATGCTACCCTGTTCCATATTATTGCTCGCTTTTTCTTTTTTTTTTTTTCTTTTTTTTTTTAGGTAGGCTGTTGCCCCTTCTTGCACCGCCCCCAGCTTGCCCTGCAGACTCTGGGACTTTAGTTACTTACCACACACAGTAGGCTCTCCGTCGCCTCTTCCTTGCTGCACACCGGCCCGCCGACCCACGGCCGATGCATCAGATGCAGATGTCGGCGCTACCTCATCGCTGCATCTCATGTCCATGGGGGCTACAGTTGCCGACCAGGAATGCATCACCAGTGGCCTTTGCTATGCTGGAACGTTTGTTTTAGCACCAGCGTCGGGTTTGCATAGGGCATTGAAATAAATTTCGGGCGGCCCGGCGCTATTTTTTGCGAAGATCCCTCAACGCTGTGGAGTGGTGTATGTCACGTTCCGGCAACCACATCAACACAGCATTGAGGGTTGATTCGAGCACGCAGCGCCGATGCGGCAGGAAAGGGCATTGGAACAGACGGGGGAACGGGATGCGGAGAGGAAACGTACGGATTACGAGACAGCAAAATAACCAAGCAAAGACCAGGTAGGCACTGTCTGGTCTAGTCCAAGGGCCAGAAGGCATGAGGTTCCAGTTGGCGTGGAGAATCGCAGGCTGTTACCCAGCCTCCATCTCGTGGAATCCCGCTTGAGGGACTCCCCGCCGGCTGCCAGGTACCGGTACTTGCCCCCCCCTCTCTCCTTCAATTTTCCGACCCGAGGTAACCAGCCGTTGGCGCCCTGCATTTGATGGAGTCAGCATCGACGCTGCACGCCCCGGATCCCTAGCGCACTCGCCTGCCACTTTTCGAGACTGATTTCCGAAACCTTGGGCTTGCTGGTCTGGGAGACAAGAGTAAGCTCTGCGTCAAGCCCAAGTAATGTGGACCTGCCGAGCACACAAGCCGCCATCAATCCAGAACACTGATCCCGTCTCCAAATATTCGAAGATGGGCGCGGCAAAGCTCAGGACGGTCAGGTCACACGGCGATTCCCGCCCGCCAAGATGGCAGCATGCGCCCTCGTCGCTGTCCCGTCATCACATCAATGAGTTGAGTGCGTCCTCGGTAGTCCATGGTAGCAGTCGCAATAATGCCGCCATGGCATGCGGTGTGCTGTGTTTGCCGGGCCACTAGGAAGGCGTCTTTTATATTTCTTTGCAGATCATCCCCTAACCCGACGCCGCCACCAGTCACTGACTGGCCCGTCCCGGACAAGTGGGTTGCAAACCTGCAGGCCTGCAGACGCGACCATTGAACGTCCCTTTTTTTGAGTCACAGGCACGCAAGCCAGAGATGTCAAGCAGCCGTTGGCTCGTTCCCCGCTTTCTCCCCTCCTTTTGCAGACGCTTGCAGACGCTTGCAGACGCTTGCCGTGCTGATATATCAAATCTATCACTATGGCCTCCCAAACGAGCATGGCTTGTTCTTGTGTTGTTGAAAGTTCAGGCTCGTCAATACATATGATGGAGTAATCTCGAGCCCTGGTGCACTGGGTCACTACGAGTATTGTTCCCATCACCGCAGATCCCACCCATCCGTCCGAGTGTCGATTCCGCATCGGCTAAGTCCTTCCGCTCGGAGGAGGCGGGTGGCGGATGGGCGGGTGGGCGCGGAACCACCCATTTCCCCTTCTTGATGGCCATCAGCCCAAGATCAAAGCTCGGACAGTTCTGCGTAGCCGCGACAGGCCGTCCGCGAGGGCTGCGCTAGGCGCCTTCTTGTGACGGGCATCCTCCAGGAGTTGGCGGGTCTCGCGAGTCCTTGGCGTCCCACGACGCGGCCGACTTTTAACAAAGGCCGCCACGCGCCCAACGACTGCCAACTGCCACCAAATTCAATCCTCAACAGCCCCCGACCCACCACGCGCCCCGAAAGCTTAGCACTGAATGCGGACAAGTGCTTGGGATTTCGGCATTTGCACGGGCGCACGCAGAGAGGGGTTAGCTCAGGCAGGTGGGAGCTTAAAAAGTCCACTAATTTGGCTGAACGGCTCTTTTCCACCTACCTTGGCTATTTTTCAATTGCTTATACAACGCATACGCATTATTAAATTTTTTAAAAAAGTAATAAAAACGTATCATAATAAGAATAATAATTTTTA